CTGTAGATAATTTGTGCACAAAAATACGTTCTAGGCTTAACGAAAATTCAGTATATGCATTATGCTTTTTACGATCACATTTAAAAAATATGCTGTTAACAGATAAGTTGTTTTTTTCTGTTAGCAGACATTATATAATAGATTACACGACAAGATATTTATGTGATATATGCTATTCTTAATAATAGTACTGTTGCGTACCTACGGGTTCATATTAGACTGAAGGCACAGAGGTCCAATGAGAGGTTAATAATTTATTTATATCAAAATAAACACTTCACAGTTCTGTAATTTTCTGCCGATATTCTCTTATAGGTGTCACAGTATCCCACAGTGCAATCAGTACTTACGCTTCAACTACAAAAAACGTTAAACATAACGCATCTAAAGAGAAAGCTAACTCGGATATATCTCATTTCACGCGGAAATAACGACTCGCACAACAATAACTAAGCAACAAGTAGATGCTCTTCTCTTAAATAGTTTTCAACAGACTACGAGATATTTCTAGAACTTTCTTCTTCTCGAAATTACTGGAAAGCAATAGAAGGGTTGAACTACTATTACAGCTAACATAACGCTCAACTACATTTATTCAATTTCAATGCATATTACGGTGATGCAGGGACCAAACTATAATGCCGCCAAATGGTCGCCGTTTGGCGACTTTTGGCGATTTCTCGCAAATTACCAAAATACCCATTTACTCAATGTTAAATGCACTTGTCCTTATATTTTTACTTTTCCAGCATAGCTTCTCTTTAGATTTTTCATGTTACGAAAGAAATACAACAATTTTACTTATAATTCTACTAAAATAACATATCAAAATTCGAAACAGTATTAATAACAATAATATTGTATTGCAATGCTTTATTTTTTATATTACATTGTTTTTTCTAATGTTATAAACTATTATTTTACTCCTCTTATTAATAATATTTGATTATAACATTTGCATTCTTATTTTATACTTGTACATAACAAATTTGTTATTATAATTTTTACAGTTTATGCATTTTTTGTTTAAAACTTGTAAATACGGCAAAGAAACATTTGTGTTTTTGTACCTTTTTTGAAAAAGTTATAGACCTGGTATTTCAGTATAACGTTTAAAAAAGCACCGATAATGTATTTTAGGTACTGTATTGCAATCACTACTTATAATGTATATCTCTTAGATTTTGTATATTTCGTACCTTTCACTTTTCTTTATTTTAGTACCTTGCTATAATGTCTCTTATCCTATAACACTTTCTTTAATTTAGAAAAACTGTCTGGCATAGCCTAGTGCGTTGACGTTGACAATAACAGATAACAGACTTTACGTTGCTGACAGAAATGATTAGATTGTAATAGATTCTAAAGAGAACTAGTAACGTTTAATTATTTTCGTACAATTTTAGAGGACGCTGCATTTAATTAAAACACACGGGCATACCTGCCGTTTCCAGGTGAAAAGAATCTAGCGTTAAATCTATTATAACGCTCGACTGAATGAGAAATCATGAAGAACAAACTACACTTTTCATCCTCAGAATATGGCTCTACTAGTCTCTCTGGTTTCTTCTGCCTTTCTTCGTCATTTCTTTCCCACAAAATTTCTATCTTGTCAAAATTAGAGTCTGGAGGCTCCCATTGACTAGCTCCGGCACCTTTCTTATATTCGACATTTTCATGAAAATAGCTGGAAACAGATGGAATGATCATTAATTACTTTAAAACAATGAAAATCAAAGTCTTAAGTAAGTAAGTGATTATGATAACTGACATTGAACTATTATGAACTATTGCAAATACCAACTATTAATATAGAACCATTCCTAGAGCCTAACTTATTTAATAATCCTGCTGAATAGACATGAAATATACAAAATACTAACAATTGGGAACTGTTTACCTAATTATGGACTTATTTATTATTGACTGTAAAGAACTATTATAAACACAAATTTATAAGAACTAAATGCCAGTGAACTATTATAAAAAAAAAAAAAACTGAAATGTTTCAGATTTTAAATTACGTCCAAAGGGGCGTTTTTTAACATTTTGTGTGTTACCTTTCTTTATTAAATATCATGTTCCTCGCACTTAAACCATAAGATCCAGTGCAACAGCAATATCGCAAAATAGTTTTAAAACGAGCATATCTTTAGAATTTCCGATACAGAGACTCACGCGCTGGAGATAAAATGTTTTTTCTGCACAACGTTGCCATTGCTCGCTTTGAAATCCTTGAGTTTGTTAATCAAAAATTCGTCAAAGTTTTAAAAAATAGGAAATCGATCATAAAACAAATTTCAAATTTGGTCTTCCACATGCTCATATTCGTTGGAGGATTACGTTATTCAAAATTCGATGACTCTATGTACCGTTGTTTTATCACAATACGAGAAATATACATACATTTATGCAGATTTTTCATTATTTAATTTCTTCAAATATAATGCAGGACTCTAACATTTTGTGGCAACAGTTTGAAAAGTGAACCGACATTTATGAGTCCGACGCAAAATGCCAAAACGAAACTAATAGTCCTTCGGGATTCAAATCCCTTTGGACTAATTATTCTTGTTGTTTATAACACCAATAATTTTGCCAGTAACCTATTATGAACTACTAAGAATTATTTACAGATATCCTATAAATGTAATATTATGAATTATATACAAATTATTTACGAACTATATACCAATGAACTATTTGTGAAATGTATGCCCATGTATTACTTTCAACTTTTATGAACTATTACAATAATAAACTATTAGGATCAATGAACTATTTATCATTGATGTATTGAATATATAAACAGTGTTATATTTGGATATATGTATTGAATTATTATACTAAACTAAATTGAATTATACATTGCATTATATATTGGAATTAGTGAAACACTAAATTGTACTATTCATTTAAGTACTGTACTAATTAATTTAAATTCTCAAACCTATACCATCTATTAATAACAAGTCAAAATTGTATTGTATTAATTGTATCAATTGTATTATACTGAATATATATGTATTGCTACCACCAAGACCAAATTGTACCACCAAGTCAAAACTGGATATGTATCCAAAGCATGTAAGGGCGATGGCACCACCTGTTGAAATGTTATGTACATTTTTGTATAGATTTTCGAAATTTTAATAAATGTCCAAAGTCTTGATTGAGAGTCTAGGGGTTCACAGGAGATCAGTTGTTTCCAGCCACGACAGCTCGGTGAGCCCTGTGATCTTTTGGGTTTTCTCTAGATTGAAGTGTGATGAGACTAACCTATATAACTTATAGTAAACATTAGGTAACTTAAGTACTCATAATATTAAAGAAAATAAGTACATGATATTAAAGAATCTGAGGTGTAACAAATAAACAATGCTATGTATTATGATCGAAATTCATAACAAATAAAATATACAATTAAAACCAAGTTTTATTCCTTCGAAATACAAGAAAACTCACTACGTTTTTTTACGTATTTTCAGCATTTGTTAAAATGGAAGACAGCTCTGAATAATCTGTTCCGACTAACATGCCACAGACCACCTGCTACAGCAGGTATGATAAATTTACGAAAATAAGGGATGTATTAGGAATTGAGGCATAGTCTACTTATCAAAACTCTACAAAAGAAAACCACTTGGTATTAAGTTCAAATGCCATAATTTTAATGCGATCTGTTTTCATTCTGTTCTTACTATCGAAATTTGTGGCAAATTTTAATTGAAGTTACTTTGCAGATGGTTTCGATAATAGTCTTTCTGAAAAAATGCCGGAAACAGAAGAGAGGCAAGCATCATAGTTTGCATTCATCTGTGGCATAAGTTATTTTTCCAAATAAATTTTAAATCGTGAAGAATAAACCGTGAAATATAGACATATCTCACGACAGCAAGATGGCCACATAAAACATTTATGAAGTATGTTAAAAAACTTAATTTACATCTACTTAAACCTAACAAAGCTTTGTCACCAGTTGCATGTTTTGTTTATTATGTAAAATATATATAAGATTTAAGTAAATAAGGTAATTATTTGTAATTGCGTAATACTTGAGCTAAAGCTGCAAAGTAATAAAATAATAATTTATTTTCTAGTATACTATTTTATTTAAAAAAGTGTTTAAAATTCTACTGAAATGAATTTACTCATTAGAATATCTAAAATGTAATTATTAAAAAGGAGTAATTAAAAGCAAAAATGCAACCAACAAACTAAGTAATTATCGTTTCATTGACTGGAAATTATATATATACAGTTCGAAAAGTAGTAGGACTGAATTAAAAAAAATATTCACACTTTTGACATATCGACTTAATAGTTTTCCAAACATGCAACAACGCAGCATTTCCAGAGAGTCTACGAATCACAGAAGGTTCCCTGGAACGCAGAAACTGGAATGCTCTTCGGATCTCTCGTTACGACCTCTTGAATGGCCTGCACCGAGTCGTGGTGCTTCCCTTTCATGATCGTTTTCAGTCGTGGAAAGAGAAATAAATCTGAAAGAGCGACATCTGGGCTATGGGCTGGAAAGGATGTAAATAAAGCTGGGGAACTGGGAATTCTGTGATGCCATGTTTGGTCAGGAAGTCCATGACAGCAAAGGCAATTTGGCTCGGAGCATTGCCGTGATGGAGTCTCCATGGTCCAGCGACTTCTGGACGGACGAGGGCGACTCGTTTTCTGAGTTTGAGACGCTGAGTTCAAAAGATGTCGCACTTTTACTAAGTTTTGGTCACTTTTTGCCGTTGAAGGGCGTTCTGATCGTTGCTCATCTTCAATTTGCTCTCTTCCGTTCCGAAACAATTGGTGCCACTCAAAAACATTGAATTGATCACCACAAGCAGTCTTGACAATGTCCTGGATCTGACTCGCAGTTTGATGCAAAATTTGACTGCGTAACGCTGCTCTAACAAACGACTGATTGTGGAGATGACAAGACACCTTGAAAGAGGTGCCTTAAACTCAATCTACACTCCATGAAGGCTTAAACTCAATCTACACTCCATAAAGGCTTGGAGACGACTGGCGACCGGTGGTGCGCTGGTAACTATGATCATCTACAACCCAACCAGAGCAGTAGTAACATCCTCCTCTCTCGCTACGTTTGGTGGGAAAAAACATTCCTACTATTTTCCGAACAATCCTGTATATACATATGTAGACAAAAAGTGAGAAGTTTTATAACCAAGTCCACGAAGACACGTATTTTGTTTTAAAATAAAAATTTGTGATATATATATATACATAATAAACTAAGTATATATATATATATATATATATATATATATATATATAAATGTTGTATGATCTTAAATTCATTTAGTGCGAAAACAAGTTACTACTACTTGCGCAATTGCTGCAAAGTTAGTTAATAATAATTTATTTCCTAAACAATATTGATTAATTGATTATATTATCTCCTAAGTTTAATTAAAGTAGAATTATTTTAAAAGAGTGAATCCATACTGGTAAGTTATATTTTGAAAGATGTTTTGAAGTAATTTGAAAGCAAAATGTTAATAATGTTTTAACGGGGACTGGAGTTAAATCATCATGAAGAATAAAATTTCAATTGTAAAAGGAAAAATTAAAAACATGTAATCATTGTCATTGATCGGAAATTAGTTGACTTTTCAAGGGGAACAAACCAACTCCCGTTCAATGAACAATAATTGATAAAAATACGTAAATACGAAGGTGTTTCGTCTTTACTCGAGTTATAAGTTAAACCCAAATCGGCAATTCTAGTCAGGTCAAATATTTCCGCGAATAGAAGGGATTATGAACCAATGCTAATACTCAAAGAACTTATTCTTATGAAGCATTTTAGTCAATTCAATTTGGAGTGAAAAGCAATTTCTGTAGAGAAATCCTAAATAACCCGAGTAACCGTCCCCGACACCTTCATGTTTATGCATTTGAGTTCTATATTATTTGCAAAAGTTAAACATTGGAAATTGTCATTATGAAATCGAATTTAAAGTAAAGTTGAAATAAACATAGAAGATTACAAAATAAGATAAATAATGCAAACTTTGTAGAAACAAATCAAAGACAATATAAAAATTATGTAAAAAATAATATAAAAAATAATATATAATAAGAACAGTGAATGTACATGAAGATATAAAGACCAGAAAAGGTATTAAGTAACTTACATTCTTTCTAGTGGGGGAGTTGGCAAAGTGTTCTCTTCGTGTCTGACTCATAAGTGTAGGGTGTCCGAAAATTCTTATCGGCAGTGGGGGCTTTGAATAATATCAGTCGGTAAAACTTGGGTGAAGTAATTTATGGTAGTGGGTGGGACTCGGAATTCTTGAGGGATGTATTATGTGGAGTTATTATTTGAGTGAGACTGTCTGTTAAGATTTTTTTGAAAATACTAGTGAATAGAAATTAATTAATTTCTGGCTTATATATATATATATATATATATATATATGTGTGTGTGTGTGTGTGTGTGTGTGTAAGACAAAAAATATGTAAATCAACTTTATAGTTTAATTTAGCAATAGTTTCTTAGTTCCTCATTTTTAATTGACTACTTCTTCTCTAGTTATAAATTTCTCGAAACTGCGTCATATTTGAAAACTGATTCCTTATTATGTCATCTTAAGCTTTCGCACTGCCTATATGTTAGCCAATCAGGTCAACGAAATATTTTACTATAAATACCATGGCAATCCAACTACCCTACCCATAAAACTTTCCTCAAATGTGATCAACACAACAAGGAAATCATTAAGAAATTAGGCAATTATGACTACGTCATAGAGCATCATAAAAGATCTTGCATTATCCCTCATAATTATAAATAGTAGGGCTTCTTTATATTATTTAATATTTTTTCATTTACTTCATTTAAATAAGTTTTATATTTTATTCATATTTAACCAAGTTTTTATTTCGTACCTTGCAAAGAAGATTTTTTGTACCTCATATAGCAGGTTTTGTAGACTGTATTTGTACATATTGTATTATATTCTGTATGCGATAGCTCTGTGTCGTAGTGGATAAGACAAACAAATGGGAACTTTCATGACCGGTTAGAGACCTGTTAGATTTGTTTACGCACATATACCAGTACAAAACTGTTTCTCTTTTTGCAACTTATTTTTATGCTCTTCACTGTATTTATGCCAAATAGAATTTGTCTCAAGAAACTATCTCAAGGAAAATATACTTCTTCAAAGTTATGCCATTGCTTTATCCCATAGTATCAGATGGTTTCACATGAACGTCACTCCAAAGATACTCTATTACTGAAGATTATTGTAGTCAGCAGATGGCGTCTTACGTCTTTATCTTATGAGATCCGCACCCAGTGCTTTAAGACTTTCCTCTTGTTCGGAGTTTTTTTCCTCATCTTTATGCCATTAGGAACTTAAGAAATATAGACTGTTAAAGGCCTCAACAAGCCGCACGCCTTTTACACGAATAGTGTCCCGTGATCTGTGACTACCCTACCTCTTTCTCTGCGTACGCTTGCTAGGTAAAGAACGTCTCTTGCTTGACTGTTTCTGTTAAAAAAAAAAAAAAAAGCGTCATCATCAAAATTGTGGGGTGCAAAGGGGCCCCGTTGTGATGTGCCATGCCATAGGACAATCAACAAGTAATAAAGAGATATTTGGATTATCAAGTGATTATGTAATTCTTCAAAAGTTTTCTTCGGATCTTCCACTACGTAATTGATATTTTCAGTGATCTTCTAACCACAATCCCCTCGCGACTGCAAAATAAGGTCTTCCCTAGTCAAACAATCTCAAATTACTGCAGGGAACTAAATTATATCATCATATGTATATTAAATATTTTAAAAAAATTATAAATAACCATAGGTGTAATCCTTTGTAAAAATATCTTACAATGCTTCATACCAATACTCTTGACATCTGTAACTTAACTCCAAACTCCGAAGTTGGTAAGTGTATTTTTTAAGCAATTTTACTTCACAAGATAAATTTAGCTAACAAAACGTTTTATAGGTAAATGCTTAAAAATTAGTAAAAGTACTTACCTTCGAAGGAGATAAAATAACTCTTGCTTGAGACCTATATTAGGGTTAGCTGCTTCGAGCTTTTCCACAAGAGCGATAAAGTTCTCCAGGGTGCTCGCAAGAGGCATCGTTTGACCATTAACTAATACTCTCTCTTTTTCCCTTTCGTAGCATATAGGTTTAATTTGCGTAAGAAATTCGTCGCGAGTTAAAGCACTCCATGCTGGTTGTAGCAGAAGAACAGCTGAAAGAAAAAAGATGATTCCATTTTTACCGATCAAAATATGTAAAATTTAAGAATTTGACGCGAATTGTCTTTCATTTGGATAATCAATAGTCACATGACACACCTAGAGGGCATGTATAAGATAACTATGAAGAAGTAGATGTATAAGGAATAAAGCACAGGATATAATAGAATTGATGGTAGTGATAGAAGATGTCAATGTTTATGATGTCAATGGTAGTGATGAACATGTCAAAGTAAAATGTTTTATAATGCAGTGCATGGAGGAATGTGAAATGTGAACGTGGAAACATAGCAAGAACAAATGCAAGCAAGAGCATGGAAGATAAAATTTGTTTTAATGATAGTTATTGAGACGAAATAGTGTTTGATATTTGAGAGAGCTGTTCAAATGAACGACCAGTAACTGCAATAAATGCATTCCAACACAACGACGGATCCCGTTTACAAGATGCAACTCGGTACTCTCGAAAACCTTGTTGCCAGAATTAGCACCACTACTGCAGAAGTACATGGTATGTCATGCATCTTTTAAGGTGTTCATCCATCCAATCACTTCTTCATCGTTGTGATGCAAATACTGCATCTGACTGTCCTTCATCTGAGAAAGGTTCGTAAATATCAAGTTTTTTAGAAATCATCCTTTGTCAGAAACGTTCCAGGAAATGTTTTTTATTTCTGAGTTTACAGAACTAAAAAGGAACAAATATTGTTTTTATGTTATCTGGTATGTATTCGTACTTGATAAGACCTTGGCCATGTTTCCGCTCAATCTTACTAGGGGACAGAGCTGTGCTTAGCAGCACACTGGTCTGATTGTTGTCGCATTCGTTAAGGTGACGCAATGGATGCTGATTGTGAGCAAAGAATGAACATTAAGTTCTGTGTTAAGCTCGGATAACCCCTAGTGAAACGTGGAACATGATTTAAGCAAGAAATATAAGCGAGATACTTTCAAGAATCCGAATTGTGTGTTTCCGAGTGGCACAAAAGGTTTCGTGATTCAGTGCAAGATGATCCTAGAACTGGTTGTCCGTCTATAGCACATACCGATGCAAACGTGGAGCGTGTAAGGCAGTTATTGCAAGAAGACTATCGTGTAAGCAGACCGTCGTGTACGTACGGTATCAGAACTGAATTTGAATCGTGATGTGTGTGATAAGATTACTCGAAGATATACGGAAACGGAAACTTAATGTAAGAATGTCCCTCACTCACTAACAGAAGAATAAAAAGTCGAAGAATTTCTGCTGAACTATTGGATAGAGCCAGACGTGATCGCACATTTGTGTCAAAGATTACTGTGATTGTTTCTTGTTTCCGTGAGTGAAAAGGTGACAGAAAGGAAAGCTTCATCAAGATTATTGCAGACATCCAATAGGCTGTGACAAATGAGCTAGCAAGCATCGCAGTTGAAGATTTCCTTGCTTGCTTCCAAGAGCTTCAGAAGCGTTGACAGTTGTGCATAGATAGACAAGGGGACTACTTTGATAGAGGCTAGGATCATTACTTGGCAAGTGCAAAGGTCTATTTTTTTACGACCTTTGTCCTGAAACTTTTCTGACAAAGGATGTACTTCTTGTAAATATCCGTGATTAAGATGAATTCTCGTTTTCCATGTTCTTCGTACTTACTGTGCTGAAATTTCCTTCCCATCACATACTATACTACGCAAACTATTATTTTTTCCATATTTAATTGCCTTTTGAAGTTGTGATTAGAAGGTCTGTTAATGAAATTATTCATAAGAAAGAGTTTCACACTCAAAACTAGAACGTAGAAATTATACAATGAAGTATATACAGCAATACAATATAACACAAAAATAACAATATTACAAAGATTTTATAATTATAAAATAACCGAAAAAAACTCATTTTATATGTCATACATGAAAAGTAGAAAACTGATTTTGTTACCCCTCTTTCACTCATTGCAGAAACACCATGCTAATATTAAATGTAATTCATTTATTACAAATTTACATTTCATAAAATGAAGTAGTAGGCACTCATTATGCGACAACTACACTGCTGGCCACCGTAAATGCTACACTCTGAAGGAAGCATGCAAATAACATGAAATTTACAACGTGCATTAGTGGAGGTGAGATATGAAAATGATTAGAATTTCAGCGCAGATGCATATCACGCGCGCCTGTGGCGCCACTTAAAGCGCTATTTAAGGCTTGGAGTCTTCGACGATTTCAAGTTCGGCAATTGTGTTTTTCTTGGGTTTTTTTTTTTTTTTTTTTCAAAATACGATCAACGATCGCATCCACCTCAGTGCACCCCTTCACGTGATGTGATGACAGGAACATTGTGCGCATGGCAATGACGGATCGCTCAGTCACATCAACAACCATAGCACAGCGCATTCAGTCTGTAACGCATCATCCAGTGTATGTGCGTACCATTCGACGCCGTTTACAGCAGAGTGGTCTGTCCGCAAGACGTCCATTGCTTCGTCTACCTTTGACGCAGAACCACAGATGTCTCCCGCGTCAATGGTGCGACGAAAGAAGCGTGTGGACGACAGAATGATTGAAATTGATTTACTGACATGTCACGCTTCTGTCTGCAACACCACAATGGTCGGATTCGAGTCTGGAGACACCGTGGAGAGAGGATGCTGAACAGCTGCGTTATGCACCGCCACACCAGTCCTGCACCGGGTATTATGGAATGGAACTGTATTCTCGCACTTCTCTAATACGCTTTGCCGGTACTTTAAACAGCCAGAGTTACATCTCCGAGGTTTTGGAGCCAGTTGTCCTTCCTTACCTTCAGGGCTTACCCGCGGCCATATGTCAATAGGATAATGCGCAACCACACGTGGCAGGCATTGTCCAAGGGTTCTTCGTCAATCGCCAGATTGAATTGCTTCCCTGTCCGGCTCGCTCTCCGGATCTTTCGACGATAGAAAGCATGTGGTCCATGGTTGCTGAACGATTGACCCAGATTACATCCCAAGCTGCCACACCAGATCAACGTTGGCAACGTGTGGAAGCTGCTTGGTGTGCTGTATCCCAAGTACACATCCAAAGTCTCTTTGAAACAATGCCGAGGCGTGTGGCAGCGGTGATCTCCAATAATGGCGGCTACTCTGGCTACTGATTCTGGAAGGAACCACACTTCACAGAAGTTTATAAATTTAATCATTTGATACTTGGTCAACATGTTATCTAAATAAATTTTGTTGTGATATCTCTTGTCTTTCTTGGTGTTGCAATTTGGGTGGCCAGCACAGTGTATTTTAATTTCTGTTAACAGTTAAGATTTAAATTGTAAGGTGTTTGTCTTTTCATTTCTCGTGCCATAATAATTCGCTGGATTCAGTAGCTCATGAAAATTTGTGTAATAAGCAAGCGAAATTATATATTTGCAGCCCAAGCTGCTGTAGAAATATGGACAAAATTGCTGACTCAAGTGATTACTATGATGTAGAATAGCTACTTCGAGAGTTACCAGGAAACGACAGATCCCGTTCAGAAAGTAATCAGTGTTAATGTTTAGCTATTAGTGTAAACTCACACGTAGGTCTTATCGTGTTGATGTCACTTCTTATTTACCCAAAGCAGCATCGTCAAATGTTTGTAGAAATGTAACAACAGTATCAGTTGCACTGTTGGTCAAAAACTACTGCACACTCTTTATTTTTCTGACTTCCAGACGCTGACAGCAGAAGCATACACAAATCGACACCGAGGATAAACTGCTCTACTCAGATTGATACCCTTTGGTAGACAGGCATTAGAAATCTTACTCTAACGAGGCCTACTGACACGATCCTTAATTGCGAAATGCTCGTCTGTAGTGTGTTTTTACAGGCCACTTCTGCGTACCCCTATATATCAATTCAAACAAATTCTTATACAGTTTTAAATATCTTTTAACATTGGAGGAAAAACTACAATTTAAAATTAAAATTAAAAAAAATCTGAAATCTTTCTTTTGATTTTGTATTACGCCCAAAGAAGCGTTTTTAATGTTTTGTGTGTTAGCTTTACTTATTAACTATCATGTTCTTCGCACTTAAACCATAAAATTCAATTATACAGCAGTATCACAAAATATTTTAAGCTTTCAGATTTCGTATTCATTTTCGTGCTATTTGTTTTGCCTGTTTTGTTGAGTTTTTCTTTTTTACATTTTAGTCTTTTGCATACAAAGTAGTCCCATTAAGTCATTAGCTTTCATTTTACAAGACCTGTTACAAATTACATTCTAGTCAAGCGTAACAAGCGTTGCATTATCATGAGTACAAGAGCCTCACATATATTAAGAACTGTTTTCAAAATCTGCTCAAGCATTTAATGTTGGAAAAGTGTTGACCCTTGAAACATCTAACTTACATTGGAAAAGTTGCAATCTAAGGTCAGGACATATTGATCCTACTGCAAAACCCTGGAGCCCTCGCCTGCTATCAACTGGCAACTATACATATCCACTATGTTACTGAATCATATGGACCTTGAGATTTTAATGCTTATAAGAATTATATCATTTAAACATTATGATCAAAAATTATAATCAATTATTAATTCTGTTTACAAAGATTATTTTTATACTTACTCGTCAAAGAAAACAGTTGAAGAAGCATTTTGGCGGAATACCCAATTCACTCTACAAAAAGAAAAATGAAGATCATAAAGAAAAGAAAACATTAAAATTAAAAGAAAAATAGCAAAGAATAATTTAAGTAAGATTTGATTAAATGGAACCTAACTGAACTTAAGTGTTCATCAAAAGTCGGAGAAACGGCCGTCATAAGCAGTTACGTACACTTCATCATACTTAACTATTCATATTTTACATACACCTATCTGTAAAAATATGTGAATTTATTGGGGTAAAAATTTATAGAAATAATCTTTTAAATGGAGTAGGAATATTTACAGTAAAATTTCTATATGACGACTGAAATGACAGGATTTCTGTTTACGTAAGGAGAAGATATGGAATGATAAACACAGCTTAGAATAAGTGGGTCTTAATACTAAAACTGTGAATAACTTACTAGAAATAGCTAAAATACATTCTTGTCCAGTTAAATAAATAAATACAGTTTAATTTATAATGAAATTTAAAATGAAAAATCGTACACTAACTATTTCAAAGATTTTCTCACAATCTGTATTCTTTATATATTAGTCGGGAATTTCTCAAGGCTTTCATTTGACGTAACTACCGGGTTAAACTACAGTGACTATATTACTGATTACCGTATTGAATCGCGAGTGTTGCATAGATAAACCCATGAAAAATTATCTGTGAGATTCCGTTCAACGAAGGAGTTTTAATACATCTCCTTCATCGTAATTGCTAAATAAATGCGAATATTGCTTTTTAATCGAAATTGGGCTGTTTAACTCTTTGCCATCTATCATTCTAGTGTGGATCTTGATATCTTAAGACGGTAGCTTCAGGACTTTCAAAGAAATGACCTTTATGCCTATGTTTCCTTTCTTAGATATGGCAGGTTACCAAACGGTTACATCGCTCAGTCCAATAAGCATGGTATCTGTGCCCAATAACAACCATAAAAGCCGTTACGGGTACAGTTCTTAAGTCATTTAACAGTTCTAGATATTTAAGCACTTAATCACAAAAACAGTAAAATGCATATTAAAAATTTACGTTGGAAAAAATAATAAACGCATTTCTGCGAAAAATTGCTGAAGTACCAGGTAGTAACATTTAAAAGTTGCTTTAAAAAAACTGCAGAAAAAGGTGGAAAAAATCAGGAGTTTTACCATAAATTAAGGAATAAGCTAAATTTCTTTCTGTAGTGTCACTAGTAACTTAATATTTAATTATTTGTTTTGCGATTTGAAGAAGTGTATGAGTAACTCTTATAAGGTATTGCATTTACTTTCTCCCTCCTTACAGCATGCCCTCGTGGTTTAACGGGTAGCACACTAGGCACGTATTCAAGAGGTCAATGTTCGAGTCCCGGCGAGGCCATTGCTCATTTTTCACGTCTCCATCTTCAAAGCAAAAACAAACAAAAAAATATAATGTCTCGACAGTGGCGCCCTAATTAAAAGGTAGTGGATGACGATTCTTCAGCACCAGGATTTGGCGACTGGCTCCTCTAATCCTCAGTCGCCCTTTAAAAAGGGGAATACATAAGGTATTTTCTTCTCCTTTCTGCATGCCTTCCTGGTGTAACGGCAGCACACTTGGCGCATATTTGAGAAGTCTAGGTTCGAGTCCTGGTGAGGGTGCTCATTTTTCACATCTCCTGTTTCCAAAAAGTCCTAATGTTTCTACACCCTTAAGGAGTGCAGTTGTTGGTAGGTCTAAACCAATGAATATTAGCGATACTTTAAGGAAAATTATTCTTTAATGCTTGCTTGAGAAAAACATAAATGGGATGATGTAATTCAAATATCTGTACATAAAATTGAGATATGAATTCGAAACTTCAGCTGTATAACTAGTTAGTTAAATCCTGGGTGTGGAGAATCATCATTCACCAAATCCTGGGTGTGGAGAATCTGGGTGACCGAACTAAACTCACCTTTTAGTTCGGCCGCCACTGTAGAGACATTAGGATTTTTTTAAAGCAGGAGTCATGGAAAATGAGCAACGTATTCGCCGGGAATCGAACCAGGACCTCTGGAAATACGCGTCCAGCGTGCAGACCACCACACCACGTAGGCCTGCCAAGAAGGCGGGAGAAGTACCTTGTAACGTTAATAAGACATATTTGTAAAGTACCGTAACCTTTCCATTCAAAACCTGTAAACCACTTATGTCTGTAGTATTTCCGCAATATATCTTACTACTGTATAACATCAATAAACTGCGATGAATAAGGTCAGAATATAATCAGAGAGATATTATTTTTTTTCAGAGAATGATAATTTGAGCAGCTTTCAAGAAATATTCTTTGAAAGGATCTGAAATTCATTTGGCATTATCATTTCGTTTGGAATACAAATTTTTAAATGATCCTTGTGACTCATTTAGGTGGGTTATCTTGTTCTCTTTGACTTCACTTGTAACATTAAAGTAATTTTATGACATAAAGTTGTAAAAGGGTGTCAGATATTTCGTTTCGAATGTTTTCATTACTCGATTTTTCAGAACTCTCACTTTCTTATTATAGAATCGGTTTTGACAAACACTTTGAAAACAGTTACGGATGTGGTCTGCAATTCTAAATTGAATTTATTTATTTTTGAGAATCTGTCAGATAGTTATGCAAGTCTTTGAAAACATTCATCACTGTAACATTTCAGACTTAACTGAAATGGATGGTTTTCAGATAAGTGCTTGGGGAAGACATTAATAATTTATTTGAAGTTTTTATCCAAGATAGTTTTAGTTCTGAACGATGATCTAATTTAAAACCCTATATGCATTTTTACATAACTTACATACTTAAAAACATGTAAATTTTTACCCCATATACATTTAAATATATTTTAAACCCCATATACATTTTTACATACTTTGAAAACAGTTTTACTTTTATCATATTTCAAAGAACGGAAGTTAATTTAAAACAAAACTTCACAGTTTTCAGACTGATTTGAATATTACAATTGTAAACAAAGAGAACATTTTGACTGATTTAATGATTCAATCAATATTGAAAACATGACTGGCTGGCTATTGTTTTATATAATCTGTGGTGACAGAGTGAAAAGAAATGTCTAGTTACCAATAATTAAATTGCTTTTATATATATTTTAGTGAATACCGGTCACATCAGGTATTCTTTCAATTGCTTTCCTTTTATTTAAAGAAAAATTCTAAATATTTCCCTTTTTACTTCTTTGTACGAACTAAAGTAAGTATAACAACTTCCAAAAAATTTCGGTTATCAGATTTTAACGGAAATATCCATTTCGAGAGTTTCCGAAACCCTTTTGACTATTTTTTGCGTGACTTTTGTAGGTATGGTCAGAATAAAAAACAGTTCTTTTTCCAAAACGGATTGTAAAATGTATTTTTTGTGACCTCCGTACGTATGTAAGCATTTATCTTGCGTAACTCAAAAATGCTCAGCCGTAGACCGTTGAAATTTTACGTATACTACATGTTGTAACATCTAGTTGTGCACCTCTCTTTTTTATTGAAATCGGCAGTACCAAAAATATATATACATATATATGTAAATGTATGTATCAGTATATGTATTAATCATATATATATATATATTGAAAACATTAATATTGAAAACATGAATATATTGGAAACATGAATATATATATATCATCTATACATACATACACACATATATGCATACATACATACAATACATACATACGCACATACAATACATACTTACATACCCTTTACTCGGCTTGGAAGTCTTTACCTGACCATTGTTTTCGCAATCGTTGGCTGTAGCCATACACTTCGAGCTACAGAAGTGTTTTAAATTACAAAAAAAAAAAAAAAAAAAAAAAAAAAAAAAAAAAAAAAAAAATCATGTTCTAGTAATGTCAAATCAAAAGCAAATGGGCAAATAATTAAATATGAGTTTAAATACGGTTTCTATGCTTATTTTTGAGAAAGTGTTATACTCGTTATGAAGAAATAAAATTTCAAGAAGTTTGACACCCGTAAGAAAAAAATGAACCGGGATATTTAATCTAAAAAATTTACAATTTTTGATGTCATTTTCAACTTGCTTTAAGGAACCCGTTAGTTAAGTTAGAATAATTAGAGAAGATAAGTTTAAATGAAATGTGTATATGTGTATAATTTAATAGGTCGTACAAGGAAGCCATGTGGTATCCACATCAGATTATTTTATCAGAATTTATTGTGACATTATAACACTTTCTGCCATATTTGTTTACTTTGTCTCGCACGGTTGGCTAAGCCAGCACTTAGTCTGAGAGGTACGCGTACTACAGTTTGGGAACCAATGAATTAACTTACTAATATTGAGGAAAATATTATTTAAGAATGTTATTTCCTTGCCCTCACTTTTACGTGCAGCTGCGCAGTGAAGGAAATGTATTGTAGTTTTCATTATTATTAGTAATGTTAAGTAGTTTTTTATAATTCCTTTTTATACACATGTAATATTATTTTTTATTCTATATCTAGGAAAAATAACTAAAGACTGTAGAGTTATTAGGTTATTTTGAGCAGGAGATGGGAAAAATCCGCAATGCCCTAGCCCAGACTCGAGCCTGAACGTCTTGAATGCGCGCCGAGTGTGCTACGGTTACAGTACGAAGGTATGCGGAAAGGAGGGAGTATGGACTACCACGTCTAGATGTCTTGCAGTCGGTTATATGGGCAGGATATAACACCACTTGTGAAATTGACAGAAATAAACACACAGTTTCTTACGAGATTAGCTTCATCAAGAAAGAAATCATCTTAGCTCTTATTTGTAGAGTGAATGGTCCCGGTCTGATGCCTTATCCAAGGTCTTTGAAATTTTCATAACAAAAAGAATAATTCAACTGATTTTCCGTAAAAACGTTTAAACGCAAAATCGAAATTAAATGAAATATTATTATTATTATGTATTATTTAAAAGAAATCTTCGTTCAGAAAATCCTACTGTATTGAAAACAATGTAAGCTTATTTGTTTAACTAGTAACTGAAAAGCAGGCTGGTGCTATCTCTCTAAACGAAGGAAGTTTTC